TATATATTAATTATTACCATTAATTAATAAATAATGTATATTTATTATAAATATTAATTAATAATAAATAATAAATAAAAAAAAATAAATAAATAAATAAATTACCTCTAATTCTCTTTGTTGTTTAAGAATAAGTTGTTCATGAATAAATCTTTTTTTTTGTTCATGAATAAAATTATTATTTATTCCCTCTATACTTGTTTGTATATTTTTTTTTATTTGTTGTATAGATACATCTGTTGCCTTTATTGCTGCACCATGATTAGGTATTAATTGTCTTAATACACTAACATCTGCCTCTATACAACTTAATCGTGATCTATTCTCTGATACTATTGCACGAAGATCTTTCAATTCTGTACATATACACAAACCCTAAACCCTAAACCCTAAACCCTAAACCCTAAACCCTAAACCCTAAACCCTAGATTCAGTATAATTGAAGATAAACGGCGATATATTGGCAGCATATTTGGTGTGTATAAATAGAATATAATTGGGGTGTATAGGGAGTAAATAATTGGGGTGTATAGGGAGTAAATTACCTTCTTGTTTAAGAGATTTAAGATCTTCCTTGAGTACAGACACCTCAAACTCCCATTGTTTATTTAATTGTTCGCATCTATGCAAACAACGATTCAATTCTTTCTCTATTTCTCCTCTTAATTTATTATTATCTTTATTATCTGCAGGAATTGGATGCTGTAGTGCATGCACTTGTTGTTTTAATCCTTTTATACCACACATACACACATATACAAACCCTAAACCCTAAACCCTAAACCCTAAACCTGAGAGATAACACATTACTGTATATATCGAATAAACCCTAGAAAGGACGGAGAGAAAACACGGGCTGAGGAGGGTATGCTAGTTGACCCAAGGGAAGGGTATATAATCTAGGGTTTAGGGTTTAGGGTTTAGGGTTTAGGGTTTGGAGTGTACCTTCAACATCTCTAATAACAACATCAAGCTCAGACACGACTGCCTGTAGATGCGAAGGAGAACAATTCGTCTGCAGGGAAGGAATTCCTTCCCCCATGCAGATATCTATCCATCCCATATCGGATATACCCATCCTAAACCCTAAACCCTAAACCCTAAACCCTAAATAGATGCTTGAGTCGAGAGCCGCGAGCCGAAGTCTCGACACGCCGCCTCCGTTGGCTTGGCGGTAAGCATGGGAGGTCGTAGGTAGCCTAAGGGTACAATTACATAAAATGATGTAAATAATACCCTTAAAAGACTTACAAAGATCCTCACGCTGTATAGACAGCTGATTGCTACTCCCTGCTGTATACAGGCAGGAAGTAGTCCGTCGGCTGCAGCTGCAGCAGCTGCACAAGCAGCAACAGCAGGGGAGCTGCAGCTGCGACTGTGGCTTAAAAGAGGCTTATTATTGCCTCTTTACAATCTACAATATGAGAAAAAGACCTATTCAACAAATAAAAAAAGACGGTAAGGAGGAAGGAGGCTGTTGATGACCAGGGAAAGAACCTCCTCCCTTAGCGGACTCCAGCTATAGATGGATCCTATTATATTATATCGGGTCTGTGTGTTGCCTTCTTGGCGGTTGTGGTGTCGCAATAAAGCGACAAGAAGAAGAAAAAGAAAACAAAAGAGAAACAAAAACAACGCATGCAAAGAATACGCTTTTTCCTCCCTTAATTATTAGAGGCCGCTGGCTGGCTTTCTATCGATAGCCGACGGATGGATGTTTGCATCATGCAAGACAGTCGAAACAAGGGGAAAATAGGGTATTTTTCTCCATTTTTTCTTAATATTTAAATAAAAAATGAATTAAAAAAACGAATGAATTATTCAATAACAAAAAAGAACCAACGGAAATGGCCTTTTGAACGGCAGCATTTCCTCTTTACAACTACGACTCGCCTGTGAGCCGTCGTCAACAACCGTCCAGTGTCTGTCCACCGCAAAGGGAGTGGAAAGCAGCAAAAAACAGCCAAGTTAAAGGAAAAATCGCTAAAATTAACGAATAATTTAGTTAAAATAAGATTATTATTGTATATTACCCAAAGATCTGGAGAAAATGTTCATGGGAACACCGAAGATCGGGCATATAATTCTTCATATGATTGTGAGTCGCGTTTCCGTTCCCTGTTAGGTAAGCGGCAGTTCTTCTTTGGTTAACCACCGCTCCTCCCATCAACCTTATTTAATTAAAATAGAATATCTTTCAATAATAAAAAGATCCATTTTAGTCGTTAAAGATAGAACTAATGGTATAAATAAGTATTATATACCGATGCCGTCGCCCATACATATTCAAAACGTGCAAATCTATGACGAATTTGCAAACCTTAACATGAATTTAAACGGTAAACAAACACAATAAATAAAAAACAAAATTACTTCTTACATAGATCTTTTATATTTTATTAGGCCAAGACTTAAAGCTGCCGACACTCCTTGTCTACCCATCACCCTGTTGCTGTTGCTGTTGCGGTTGCTTGTGTTGCTGCTGCTGTTGCTGTTCTATTGCTGCTTTTGGTGCTGCCAGCAGCAGCAGCAACAACAACAATAGCATGCAGCTAATTGTTCAGTGTGTTGCTGCGTAAGGTGTCTTGTACAGCTAGACTACTAGGCAGTAGAAACCAAGCTATACAGGGATTTATTTCTTCTCTTGATAAAAGATTTCCTCTCTTATTTATTCATTAATTAGGAAGAAATAATTAAATAAGAGGGCAGTAGATGACAGCCACAATAAATATAAATGTTTTTTTTATTGTTTTTTTCCTTGACAGGGGCAAAAAAAATAACAAATTATTATTGCATATTATGCCTTATAAATAAGACCAACAAAAAGAACACAAACAAAGCCCCATCTTATATTGTTTACAAACTACATTGCATGCATGCACGCATTTATGCATGAAGGTATGCAGTGCATGCACTGCTTGCACTGCATGCATGCATTTATGCATGCATGCGGGGCTGCAATTTGGGGTGTATGTACACCTACCGTATATATAAGACGGAAGGTTTACAAACAACTACATTGATTATACACCCCAATGCAAACCCTTCATTGCTTATGCAAGGGAGTTTTAGGGTATTTTTCTCCAAAAACTCCACAAAGAATGTATATATATACGTCGTAAACCCTAAACCCTAAACCCTAATTTAGGGTTTAGACAGAGAAGTCTGCCGTCGTGGCGACAAAGATATATTCAATTTGTCAGAAGCCAACTCCATCAGATCCGCAAACAACTCTTCACTCCTTGGTGTCCCTGTACCCCTTTGGGGGCCTTCATGGGGGCCCCCTTGAGGGCCCCCTTGGGGGGCTCCAAAGGGGCCCCCCTGAATGTTTAATTGCGAGGAGCCCCTGTACGGGCCGGGATGAAAGTTTGAGGTCGGGGCGTTGGTGCCTCCTTGCTGCTGCTGTTGCTGTTGCTGCTGCTGCTGCTGCGCATCAGCTGCGTGTCCGTTGGAATAGGGAGTTTGCATGGGTACAGCGGATCTTGGCAGCTGCAAGGCCCCCTGGTCTAAGGGGGGCCCCTCGGGCCCCCCCCCAGCAGCAGGGGGCCCCCCTGGATGGGGAGGGAAGTAAGGGGTTGGTGGGGGTTCATAACAAAAGGCAGCATTTAGCTGCTGCAGCTCTGCGTCTGCAGTACTGGGGGCCCCCGATGTTGAACAGGGTACAGCTGAGGGGGCCCCCCCAGTGCCCGGTGCACTACCAGAGGCAGCAGTGTCATTAGGGGAAGGACAACGAGAAGATCCAGCAAGATCTGCAGCAGCAGCAGCAATAGCAACACCAAGGTTACGAGCAGCAGCAGCAGCATTATTACTATTATTATTATTAGCAGCAGAAGCAGCAGCAGCAGCAGAAGCAGCAGCAGCAGCAGAAGCAGCAGCAGCAGCAGCAGAGAATTTGTCTTCTTACCTAAGAGGTCAAATCCTTCAACAACATCTTTAGGGATAGAAAAGGCAGCAGGAGACGGAGATGCAGACTGCTGCTGCTGCTGCTGCTGCTGACGTTGTTGCTGCTGCTGACGTTGTTGTTGTTGCTGCTGCTGTCGTAGTTGCTGCTGCCGTCGCTGCTGCAGCAGTTGCTCCTGCTGAAGTTGCTGCTGCTGTTGCTGCAGTTGCTGCTGCTGCTGCTGGTAAGTGTAGGTCTGCGACTGCAACTGTTCCCAATGAAGTTGATGGGGGTGGTAGTGCTGCTGCTGCTGCTGCTGCTGCTGCTGCTCCAGTTGCTGCTGATGGTAGTGTGCAGCAGGAGCAGAAGCAGGGGAAGCAGCAGCAGCAGGAACAGCAGCAGTAGCAGGCGAGTGCTCCTGTTGTGTTGACAGGCTGCGCTGCGGCCCATCAAGGACCCTACCCGCTGCAGCAAAAAAAACGCATGCAGCACCTAAACCCTAAACCCTAAACCCTAAAATAATCATCAAACCTCGAACCCTATAATCCAAACCCTAAACCCTAAACCCTAAACCCTAAACCCTAAACCCTTACGTCTATAGAATAGTTGGAAAGGGAGCCCATTAACACGAAGAGAAAAACCCTTAAAAGATGATTCATAAACAACACTTAATAAATGACCACTTAATGGCCACGAATGCTCAAACCCTGAGGATCTTAATCTATAAAAAAAAAAAAAAGAAAAAAAAAAAGGAAAAGATATTAAATAGTGTTAGTCCTGCTGCTGGTGCTGCTGTTCTTGTTGCTGCTGCTGTTGTTGCTGTTGTGATTTATAGGGGATTTTCGCGATGTTGTGGTTTAGGGTTTTTGCTTTAGGGTTTAGGGTTTATGTAATTATCTACAAATTAGGGTTTAGGGTTTAGGGTTTAGGGTTTACTGTTGTTGTGCATATACAAGTCTTCCATCCATTAATATTTTTTTTCTTCCTGAAAGTTTTGAATGATAAAATTCAACATTGTGAAAAACCCCAGAAATACGAAATTGCTGCGTATATACACCACAAACCCTAAACCCTAAACCCTAAACCCTAATTTTTTTTTTTTTTTTTTTTTTTTTTTTTA